GGTGTGTGGTGCGAGCGGGCGCGTTCGTGTTGATGGACTCACTGATACCCACAAGCAGGCCACTCCTCACATTTACCAAACACCCAGCATTGCCGCTGGGCACCACAAAGTGCCGCACGCACTCTTCGTGCATGGCCAACCGCCGCTCCCAAGCTTGTCCGGCACGGGTGCCTGTCTCAACTGTACTGACTCTGGTTTTGCTGCAACTACGACTTCCCCAGCCACGCGGTATGAAGCCTCCTCCTTCCACCATGCGCACCAACACATGTAAGCACACACACACACACACACACACACACACACCTGGATAATCAGGTCAGCGTGCTTCTTCTGGGGGTCGATGTACGCATCGAAGTCGGGCTTGCGGCTCTCGATCGACTTCTTGATCGAGTCCAGGCTGTGGCCGCGCTCCGCCATGTCGCGCTGGATCTTCCAGGCGAACTTGATCTCGTCGGAGATGTCGAGGTAGATCTTCAAGTCGATCAGGTCGCGCACGCGCTCATCGTAGAAGGGGTGGAGGCCCTCGATCACCAGGATCTGGGGGTGGAGGGGTCAGGGCGTCGTGTCAGGCCTTGCCGGGGCCGCGCGCGCTGCGTTGCGCGATGCCGCGGCTTCCAACCATTGCTCGCCGGGATCAGGGCAGCGACTGGCCTTGGTTAGGCGCCGCCACACCATTGCTGCCGCTGCTGCCCGCAGCAGTGAGAGCAGGGCGGGCCGGCTGCCGTGGGGTTGGCTGCCACGGGGCCGGCAGTTGTGCGCCCGGCTGCCGCGGGGCCAGTAGTTGCAGGGCCGGCAGTTGCCGCGTCTGCATGGCTCACGTTGGCGGGGTCGATCTTCTCAGCGGGGTCCAGGATGCCGGTGACGTGGTTGTAGATGGGCTTGTCCACGGCCTTGCCCTCCTTGAGGCTCTTGACCTGCCAGGTGTCAGGCGTGACGGGAGGGGGTGCTGTTGGTACAATTCCCCAGGCTGCGGCCGCCGCAGCAAGCCGATCGCGTCGTAGGTCAGGTTGTTGGGCGGCGGAGCCACCCGCAGCTGCATGGCTTCGTGCGCGGTTCGCGCACGCCATACCGTGCACGCCACATGCCAGTGGCTGCAGCTGGACGAGTCTCGTGCCTGAAGATCCACTGACGGGCGTCAGCGCAACACCCCGCCGCAGCCGCTCGCACCACAGCGCCCCGCCCGCTGCAGCCGCGACCAACCGCCACCGCCTGAACGCCACCCTGCCCCCTGTTGTAGCAGCGCCGCCACGGCCGAGCCCCCTCCCTGCACCGTAGCCCCCAAACCATGCACAAACAATTGAACCCCAGCCCTCAACACATGTGCAATCATTTCAACCACAGCCCTCGAAACATGTACATCACAATCGCAACCGCACCTGGTCGTACATCAGGTCAAAGTACTGGGCCTTGGGGTCCAGGGCAGTCACGCCGGCGGCGCTGCGGCCCTTGCGGTCCAGGCTGTGGTAGTCATCCAGGCAGATCACGGTGGTCATGTCGCTGATCAGCGTGTTGCTGTCGGGGTTGCCGCCTGGGGGGCGTTTGGGGTTGGGTTTGGTGCGGGGCGGGGCGCAGTGGAAGGC